GGTGATTATCAATCATAGTATCCATGGGTTTGATATGCTCGTCTGGATCTTCAGTCTCGTTGTAGTTGTCTAACTTTAGGGTTTTTTCGAGGAACACTGTTGCAAAAAGAACCTTTTACCACGATTAGGAGAAGGATTCCACCATGGATGGGGGTCGTGGTAATGAATGGTGTGGTAATATGTTCCCTTTATACTACCACGGGATAATAGTTGTTGTAAAAACCTTGTAGCGCGTAACATATCACTACAGTTGCAGAAACTAACCGTAGTAAAATATGGAGGTTAGGGGTTCGATACCCATTATCAGTATTTTGAGAGGTTTTTCAATATTTTACCACGGTTGAATGTTTCAACCTCAGTGTAAGACTTAGCGTACAATATTTCACCATGATTATATCTTCTAACTGTTGCTCAATAAACATATAACCTTTCAATCTAGTTTAGAAATTAATAATATGACAAATTGAATTTAATTAGAAGAACAAGTTACACTAATTAATGTTTTTCGAGCTTTATACAATCCATTATTCGTATATCATTTTTTAACAGTTAGAATTTGGTTTAATATTTGTAGTTCTTCAATCAACACTATTTTTTTACTAGTTCATCCTGAAAAATGTTAATAACTTTGCAGAATGAACTAGCAAAAAAGAAAGTTCCGATTGAAGAAGTACAAGCATTAAAGCAAACTCTAAGAGTCAAAGAGCGATTTACGGATAACAGGCTAAAGAAAGCTCGTAAAACATTGATCAATGTAAGTTTTTTCTAATATAACTTAATTTTTCATATTATTATTTTCTAATTCATTTTTAGATGTTATATATTCAATGAGGGGTTAGTAAAACACTCAAGTCAAATATGATATAATAAATTCATCTTCTAGGACATGTTGGCTGAATGAAATGATAACTGCAATGTACAAACAATAACATACATATACAAACACATCATACAATAACACAAACAATTTTTTTATCAAACATTCCTCAACAACAATATTTATCAACATATCTCAACAAAAACATCTACATACTTCAACAAAAAATATGTAAACTAAAACAAACAACAACATTTATCACATTAGTATTCTAAATAGATAAATAACTTGAGACAAATAAAAATATGAAAGATAATATTTATTGTGAGACGGAGGAAATAACTTTTAGTCATTAAAAATGTATTTATTTAATCTATATATAAAACAGATAATATATATTTTTTGATGATTAAAAATTTAATTTAATTTATGATTATTTATGATTATGACTTGAGAGAAAAATGAATTTAATTGTGGACTTTTGGGTGGTCTTAAGCCTAATTAGTCTCTCCAGATTTTTGAAACGGCAAAAATAAATGAGAACGGACAGAAACTTAATGGAGCATGCAGCTTGCAGCTTGCAGCGATCAAGAGCAGTTATTCTGCTTCATTGCGTGTTGACCCCGCACTCAAGGAACTGACCATCACTCCCTCTACACATGTGGCCTCTTGATGGTTGAGAATTTTTTTGGTAAGGGTTCACGTGAATTTCAAGCATTTGTTTAATAACTAGAATTAAATTTTGAAATACAACCATCACCACATTTTGTCATACCTATATGTAAATAGTTCTAAGCATTTGTATTATTGTATAATTTCTTATCATAAAACCAGTGTGATAGAATTTTAGAAATAGCATAAATAAATAAAATGTAAATGAGTCTTAAAAACGAATGGGTATATGGTGATGATGTATGTTATTTCGGTACACTATTATGTACTTGTCAATTTCGATAGTGTTAGATCTATTGTATTAAAAAGATGATTGAGTCAAGGAGATTTATTGTCTCTTTATTTCTTTATTCTTAACTCAGGAGAATTTTCGGCCCTCATCAAGGCTTATGTGGTTGATGGGGATAACAATTGTATTTAAATATGCAGAGGGGCATTTAACGTGTCCCACCTGTTTTTTTGCTAACGATTGCTTTTTGTTTTGTATGGCCAATTTAACGGAACTAAGATATCTTATGAATTTGCTGAGTATATATGCTGAAGCATCAGGTCAAGAGATTAATATGACAAAGTTTAAGATATTCTTTAGTCATAACTTGAGTATACCGGTGCAAGAGGACCTTGCTAGCATCATCGGAGTTCGTCATGTCTTAGGGACAGATAAATATCCAGGGCTTCTCTCAATGATTGTTGGAGCAAAAAGACAACTTTCTCCTTTATCAAGGATTGCATTTGAAAAAGAATCAATTCTTGGAGAGGTCTTCGTTATCTAAAGTCAGGAAATAAGTTATGAATAAATCAGTGTTACGAGCAATATCGGCTTACAACATGAATATATTTATTCTTTCAGACGCAGTGATTAATGATATTGAGAAGATGTTGAACTCTTTCTGGTGGGGAGGAGGTACCAATAGTAAGGGTATTAGGTGAATGTTGTGGGAGAAGCTAGCTTGTGCCAAGAATGAAGGTGGTTTAGATTTTTGTGATTTTAGGGCCTTTAACATGGCTATGATGGCAAAACAAGGATGATTCCTTATGACTAACTCTCAAGCTCTAGTATTTGTAATCTTTAAAGAAATGTATTTTCTTAAAACATCTTTCTTTGATGCTAATCTTGGTTATAATCCTAGTTTTATGTGGAGAAGTATTTGGAAGGCTAGGAAGGTGTTAACTCTTGGTTGCAGGTGGAGTATAGGAAATGGAAGTCAGATCAAGGTAATGAGTGAACCTTGGATCCGTGGGAGTATAGAAGGGTATTTAAGGGGTCCTCAAAATCAAGGTGTATATAATATTTATGTTAAAGATTTAATGTTACCTAGTGTTAAACAATGAAATATGCGAGTGTCATGTGAATTGTTTGATTATGCAGTGGTGGAAGACATCTTATAAGTTCCGCCGGTGGAGGACGTAAAGGAAGATATGATGGTTTGAAAGGAGGAACATAATGGTACCCATAGTGTTCGATCGGGGTATCAAATTTGGAAGAGGTCTCAGAAGAGGTATACTAATGAGTTAAAGGAAGATAATTGGAGTAGCCCGTGGGATATTAAAGCTCCTCCTAGGGTCAAACATCTCCTTTTGGAGAATTTTTAGGGGTTTCTTGTCATCCAAGATGAGATTTCGTCAATATCATATTTCTTGCTCGTCAGATTGTTAGTTTTGTGATGCTAGTGTCGAGGATGATTGGCATGTATTCGTTGGATGTCCTGAAACGAATTCAGATTGTTAGTTTTGTGATGCTAGTGTCGAGGATGATTGGCATGTATTCGTTGGATGTCCTGAAACGAATTCATGTTGGAGGGCAGCAAGTTTGTATGATGTTATTGAACCATGTTTACATTTCTTTACTAATCCTAAGTCCTTATTCTTGATTTGTATAATAAGGAGGATATGAAGGTGGCCGATATATTTGTTATTATGATTGAGGTGATATGGAAGAACAAGAATAATTTTATTTGGAATAATGAGAGGGAAGGGGCTTCTAAACTTGGTTGGTTAGTGTTTTATAAGTGGAAGTAATGGTTCTTGGTTTACATAACTCATGAAAATGAGAATGTCCGTCATAATTTGTTACGTTGAAATCCGCCGCCGAACAGTTGGCTTAAATGTAATGTCGATGCGGCTTTTAATAGATATTGTGGTACAACGAATAGAGGTTGGTGCTTGCAGGATAACTTGGACAATTTCGTTAGTGCTTGTGTAGTTTGGGATGTGGGTATCTTTTCATCTTAGAAGCAAAGGTGTTGGCTCTTAAAGAGACTATCCAAGGAATGTCCTCCGCTCCAATTATGTTGGAAATTCATAATTTAGTCTTATCATTAGATTTATCAAATCGTTGTTACTAGTTTTCCAAAACTTTGAGATATAATTTGTTAAGTATCAAATGAATATGGTTGTTCATTCGATAAATACAACGGTCAATTCATAGTCTAGACATAGTAATGTTAATGTTATTCTTTCTGTATTGAATTATTACTCATTAATGAAAGAAGTTAGCTTTGCTTTTGTCAAACAAAAAAAACTTAATTAATTAATATAAAACAAATTTATTTAATTATCCTTTTTTATACTCCTATCTAATAAAAAATTGAATTTACTATTGCATTAAATATTTTAAATTAAGTCAATGAAGACCGAAATTTTGAATCAGTTTTTTATATAACATTCAACGCAGAATATATTAAAGTGGGTTTTTTCTTGTATGCAAGACCATGTACCCATAAAATCACATTTATTCCAATTACTCACTTTTTTTTTGGAAAAAGCAAAATGAATTAAAAGAAAAGTAAGTATAAGAAGTGCTATTTACCTCAGATATATGCTCAATACACCACCAGAATCAGCAGAACACAGGAATAACAACAACAAAGCGCCAACAGAAAAATCAAAAGAAGAAAAAGAAAAACCAGAGCCACAGTACTCGATTACACACTTAAGCATATTTGTTGTGTTTCCTCCTATTTGTGTATAAGTGATAAGTCTATAACTTACATAATAGAACTAGTACCTACTAAATTGAGCACCAAATACTCCCAATTCAAAAACATTCATTGTGGTGGAGAAAATGAAATCCCCTTCAAATAGTGAAGAAATTTATGCTAAGTTTAATTTGTATAAATAAGATAATAGAACTTTGAAGGGCAATTCAATGAATGTATATAGGACTTTCTACAAATAGCTGCAATGAATCAAAACTTGAACTTATATTCATTGCTATACCAGAGAAATTTCACACTGCAGCCTACTAGTATATCACCTTAAAATTGAGTACCTAAATAACAAAATAAATTGAGTACCTATAGGCTATTAGGCTCTCCTTATTTTCTATTCTTTCAAGAGTATTGGTTATCCCCAACCAAAGATATTGAAAATCATCTTCCTAACCAACCCAAACCAGACCATTTACTCCGAAGACTAACCAAAAATTTGAATCTATATAACAAAACAATGTCATTAAACCAGAGGCAGTAACAATATTTTGGTGTCTTAGTCAAATACACATTTTTAAATGCTATCCTACAACTTCATTAAACTTCAAAATAGTATCCGAATCGATCGGAAAAGTAAATCGAGAAGTTTCAGGAACATGGTACGGGATATGTCTTGCTGTGTCTTCCCACCAAATACTCCTAATCTCCTTCTCATTGAGCTTTTTTGTGGCATATTCTAACGCGGACTCCAGCTCTATTATCCGTTCTTGAAGCCTTGCTTCAAGTAGTTCATGCAACCTTCTCTCCAGTTCAACCGGAGGGACTCCAACTGAAATATCATAACTTGCTTCTTGATGTTCCATTGTTATTTCACCAAAATTTGAACTCTCGCATTTTGAACTAGAGTCTTTAACAACAACCTGCCAATTAACCAACAACAAAGTAAATTACTAACAACTTACAAAGGGACATTTAAAAGTAAAAGTCTAAAGAAAAACAGCATATAGCAGCAAATTTATAATTCAATTTTAATAACTTGGGTTGGTCAAAATTCAAGAGTGGCCTCTTTTCTAGAAGTAGCCTCCTCTTGATACCAAAAGGGCATTACAATGAAACTCCATTTCGATATTTCCTTTCAGCTCATTCAAGAGACTATTGCTGAATCAATAGTTGAAAGGTTTATGCAACCGATAGCATTTGACAAAATTATTACAAAAAATAGGCATCTCATAAACAAGTCGTACTAAGCACATGGCAGCTCACTGATTGTATACTGGTTAATAGTACATATATATCAATGAAAGACCGAAGAAATAACAGAAAAGATTGATTAAAGTCTAGTGGGGCAAAATCATCCCTATCTCGGGTTATTCATCAAACTATAAAGTGGCACATCGCCTATCAAATTCAGGAAATGAATATAGTCATGAGAAGTGAAACTTGAAACAATTTACCTCAACATTTTGTTGTTGTGCTTCTTCAAATGCAGCTTCTCCATCCAAATACAGCTGCAACCGTTGTAACTCATATTCAAATTCCGCCTGAAGCTCATTTATTTCTTCTGCACATTCATCTTGTTCACGAATATCATAGTCTAGAAAACCATCACAACCCGTGTCACCTTTCAACTCTGCCTGACCATATGATTTCTCCGAACGAACTGAAAGGTGACTATCAGAGCACGAAACTTCTTGAACATCAGTGACAGAAATCTCTGCAAGAGCATCATCACATAGTTTCAATCGGTTAAGAAATACATCTTTACTTTGAAGTTCGCCTTTCATGTTTTGAAGGATTATTCCCATTTCTTTCCGCAACTCAACCATCTTACTAAGCTCATTTTTAGTTGCTGCAATCACATATAGCAATCCACAACCAACTCCTAGCTTAAAAGATGTATCATTCCAATCTAACTGTCCTGCAGAACACCAACCAACAACATTATAAAATAATCTACAAAACTTAGGTATCAATTGAAATTGAAATTGAAATTGAAATTGAAATTCTCAAATTAATCAATCAAAATTCAAATTGAAAAAAATACTCACTTGACTCCTCTTCTCTGTCTTTTAATTCAATCGTTATCGGAGTAGGCGGAACCTTGTCTCGGCTTTTCAGAATTCGTCGTTCTTTATTTGGCCTCAGCGCCGCCAGAACGGAAACAAGAAGCCGCCGAGGCGAAAAGCATTTGGTGGAACGATGAAAAAAATATGGCGGTTTTTTGTGAGCGCCGTCCATGGAGTTAACGGCGGTGGAGTCTTCGGTGGCTAGAAGAATATCGGAAACGAGTAAAGGACGGTTATGGGAATCGGGGGATTTAAAGAAAAGGCGCTTCATGGATCGTACGGATATATTGAAAGATTGAAGGAACAGAGAGTATTAAATTCTATATTGAATTATGATTATGAAGATGATAGTGATCGATTCGGTTCAATTTCAAAAGGTTTAGCAGAGGCACTTTTTGTTTTTGGAGGGAACTTTATGCTTTTTTCCTCTTTCTTGGATACAACTTTTTTCTCTTTATTTTTTTTTGATTGTTTGCAATTTTTGTTTGTTTGACTAAATTTAAAGGATTAATGCTTAAGAGCATACACTAAGTGTTTACCGTGGTTATTGGTAAACAACCGCTGATCCTCCAAATGGTTACTTATTTGGTTACTCGCAGGATCGATCAGATTGATCCTAAGACATAGGTTGATTTTGGGTTTTGATTAAGTTGGATAATGGTTAAATGACAATAAAATAAAGAGGCTTTAAGTAAATTGCATGAAGAAGGACTTTGATAAAATAAATGAAGGCTTGAAATAAAGGGCTTCGACAGGAAAAGTAAAGAAGAAAGCAAGTAAAGTTTCTGGAAAAGTAAATGACTTTGATTAATAAAAGTGGTGTTTCACACATACATTCTCAACAATTCTTTCTCACACGTTGGGTACTCGAATCTATATGAGTGACTTTGTATATAATTGTGAACACACGCGAGAAACTGCGTGAACTACTACTATTTATACTAAAACATCCCAAGTAACCGTCGGGCAGTTACACTGCTTCGAGATGACTCCACTTGGCGCGTTCTCAGCGTTCGACGCTCCAGATCTTTGCACGTTGCACTTGGTAACCGCTGGAAACCGTTTTCCCTCCAAACGCTTGAATTTCAAACCGCTCCACTCTGAACCATCGAACATCTTCGTCGAGAAGCATCTTCGACGAGAAACACCTTCGACGTCGAAGGCAACCAACTTCTCCCTTGGAAGAAATCTTCTAAGTACATTGCAATCTTTCGATGGGCATTTCGACGGACCCAGCTGGTCGAAAACATCCTTCAGCTTTAATGGCTGACATTAATAAAACAAGGGTGTCGAATTTAGGAGCCAACAAATTGCCCCCCAAGAATGCCTTATTTCGACTCTGAAAGAAAAAGGCATTCTTTGAAATGTCATTCGACACCTGTCTTTTCATTCTTAGTCACAAATTAAACTGTGCACTTTTTGTTGTCTTCTACCAACCACTGACAATCCCAAGGAAAAGCCATCATTCATCCGTACCTAAGACGTCACTTCAGTACGGCGTGCAGTGTGCCAAACGTCTTTTCACAAATTGTCATCATGACAATTCCCAAAAACGAGGGCGCACGCTGCACCCTTCCATTTCTGCAGAACGGCTACAACAACAGGGAAACGCCACGTGTCTCACTACCTTCTGCAACATTAAATGGCATTTAATGTCCTCGAATTTGGGGATTTCCCCAACTACTATAAATAGCGGTAAGTACCCATTGTGGGACTTTTTACGCTACCTTGCTTTCAGAATTCCTCATTTGCATACAAACTCTTGTCAACTTTGCAAACCCCCTGTTCTTCACTTCGTCTTCAACCTAAGTACCAACAATGGCATCTGGTTCATCCAACGCTCCTAGCGCCAACACTCCCTCTGGAAATGTCAAACCTAGGGTTTTCTCCACTGCTCCCGTAGTGACTCCCACGGGCCAACGAAGGGTCCCTGAGCCTTTGGACATCGCTGTACATGATGCTTATTCACGCCACCTCATGATTCCGGTTGGATATTCCAACCAAATCTTTGCTATGTCTGGCTCATTATACCCAAGCATTGCTGAGGCCATGAAGATCAAAAGTTACTTTCCGGTACTTGAGAGACTCAAACCGGTTGGATGCTCCAAGAAAGATGCAGAGGATAATGAAGATCCTGCTAAGGAGAAAATCGACCTCCGTTTCTTCAACAAAGGTGTTAGGGCTTTCAGGTATGGCCCTAGCCTCACTCCTGATTATAGTGCTTGGCTGGAAAAAATGGAGAAACGCCAGGCTTCGATCTGGAAAGCCATGGGGATATTCGACCCGGTTATGCTGTCGAAGACAGGTCTTAACTATTCCCCAGAGATGTTGATAGCTTCTTTACTCTTTTGGGATTACACCCATTTCACCTTCCATCTTCCCTGTGGAATGCTGACTCCCACGCTCTTCGACGTGGCCGCCATCACTGGCCTTCGACCCACTGGGGACTACTTCGACCCGGAGGAAATTTCGGAGGATCAGATTGGATTCTCTGCCACAAAACCAACCTACACCACCTTCATCAATCACTACCACGATAGGTCGACAGATGCTGTGTCGGATGTCGAACATATTGCGTTTCTAGCCTTATGGCTGACACGCTTTGCGTTTTGCTCCAAGTCTTTACAGGTGACCAAGAAGATGGTCACCCTCGCCACTCAACTCCACCATGGCCAAAATATCTGTTTGGCAGAATTGATTTTGGCGAGTCTGTACGAGTCGATTAGCAACGGAGCGACTCTTCTGAAGATCATCGAGAACAGAGCCAGTCTGCTGCTTGCTGGACCTTTTTGGCTGCTTCAGCTGTGGCTCAATGCCACCTTCGAGTCTTTCTTGCCTAAGAAGATTCAAATAAATGAGCAGGCTCCAGAAATAGCAAACAGACGCGTCGAAGGCACCAGATTGGCTCTATTGACTCCAACGGAAGATGGGCTGGAGCTTCAACAAACTTTCACAAACTTCGTTTTGATGTTTGCTAAAAGGAAAGAGTTTGTTTCGACCATGGCTCCGTTTGCTCGATGGAAGGTTGGCCCAGAGTGGTTCACAAGGCCACATCCTAGGACGTCGAGTGGTCCTCAGGTCGACGAACATACAACAATGTGGGAGGCATTTCTCACACCAAGAATAATGCCCCTTCGATTCAAGAGCTCTAAGACTCACTTGAGTCTGATCGCGTATCAACCAAACCTGGTGTCTCGCCAGTTTGGTATTATCCAAACACTACCTTCTCCAATTTTTCCCAGGGAGAAGTCTATGTTATACTTCTGCAACGACTACACTGAAGAAGCTGCCACTAAGCACATCGACAGATATGCTGGTCGAACAGTTCTTTCGTTGTTTGACTATCAGCTTAACTTTCTCTGCTCACCATCCTTCGAGGAGTGGTGGAAAAGTTACTACGCTGAGGAGTTTTTCGACGAGAAGGACTTCGTGGATGAGCTTCAGAAATCTTTTGTCCTTGTCTTGGACAAAATAAAGAAATGTAAGTTCATCCTTCCAAATTACTTTGTCTTTCTCTTTCGACTGCTAGCCTGTTAATTATTTCGTCTACTTTCAGTTGTTCGAAAGCCTGCAGCCAAGAAGGCTGCAGAAGGCCAACAGGGAGGAGGCCCCTTAACAAAACCTCCACCACCGGCGAAGACTGTAGCGCCGGCGAAGACCACAACAAACCAACAGGGGGAAGGCCCTTCGAAAAAGCCTTCTGTATCGGTAACCAGACTTTCATTATTTTCTTCTGGCTTTAACTTTTTGACTTTTGATGCAACTTCTAAATCGAACTCCAATTGGTTTTTTTTTTAGGCACCTTCGCCCAAGAAACGGCCAGCACTGGCGGTCGAATCCGGGAGTGACGAAGAAGATGACTCTCCCCCTGCTCCCCTAAAAAGGCGAAAGCTGAAGAAGGACGTTCCTCTTCCTGAGGCTCGAACAATCAGAATAAAGGTTGCTGGGAGAAAGCCCAGGCCACCTCCAGTAATCATTGAGGAGCCAACGGAGGAGGAATTAAACGTTCTTCTCAATAAACCTGTCGAAAGCGACAATTCCAGCCCTGGGGCTGAAGCTACTTTACAGGTAATGTCTTTGATCCCTTTGTAACTCAGGTGTCGATACCTATGTTCGATTATATCTCTTTCGAATTTAGAAGATTCTTCTTCTTCTCTTTCCAGGACACCACTGAAAGCTCTGCGCCAAGGACTTCTGAAACATTGGATTCTGCTGAACTCAGCAGGCCACAAGAAAAAGACTTGGCGAATGATGAAGCCAATACTGAAATAAATGAAGCTAATACTGAGACAGCAGAAAAACCAACAGAAGATCCACAAACAGAAGAGCAACAACCACAAGAGATTCAGGTGGTGGATCTGTCGGAAGAAAATCGTGACGAAGGGGACCGCGGTGACGCTGGCGAAAAGGATCAAGGTGACGCTGGCGAAAAGGATCAAGGTGACGCTGGCAAAGGGAACCATGATGACGCTGGTACTGCCGCAGTCCGAGTCGAAGAGAGTCAAGTCGAGGCAAATGCTACTCAACAGCCTCAAACCCAAGACAATGCTGTTGCAAAGGTTGTTACCTCAACAAAGCATAGGTCGAAAGAGGACTTAGAACTCTTGAAGCAAACTGATCTTGTTAGCTATCTGAACGCCATCATTGAGAGCAAAAGTTCGTCTGATGCTAGTCAGGAGGTTCCTACTCTGTCGGGGAAGTCCACTGAAACTTCTCCTCTCGATGAGGCTTTGACGAAGGTTAAGGCTCAGTTTTTTAAGAAGGACCTGATGAAAGCTTTGGAGGGGGACCCTACTGCTCCATCATACTTGAGGGATGTTTTGAATGCCGTAGACTTGTTAGCTGTGCCTCCGGAAGTTTCAGGCTTTATCATGGAGTTACACTCCATTATTGATCAAGTCTCAGCAGATTATCGGCGACAAAGGGGCTTTAATAGCCAGCTTGAAGTGTTATATGGAAAAAGCTCTTCTGCATGGACTGCTGTAGCAGAAACAACTTCTCGAATTACGGAGTTGTCGAAGCAAAAAGCATCTAAACAAGAAGAAGTTAATGCCATCGATCGAGAGAATGCTTCCCTCAAGGCGCAAATCGAAGAAATAGAGGCTAAGATAAATGCCAATACTAAGCGCAAGGAGAAACTTCTCTCGACTGTTCCAGACACCGAAAGTCAAGCTGAAATCACACAAGGCCTAGAATTTGTTGAGAAAGCTCAAGCCTTCGACGATCAAATTTCCAAGCTTGCGCAGGCGAATGCCTTGTGCAACAAAAGAT